ATATTGAATCCATTGTAGTTTGTTAGTAAACTAAAATCCTCAAATTAACACCATAATAAATAATTAAGCAAATAAAAATAACGGAGGGGTTCTTGAAAATTTATGCTTCTGTGAGCATTCATTTTTGCAACATGTAAGGATCCAAATTTTATTTTGGTGCATAGTTTCGGTCATATAGAAAACAGAAATATTTACGAAATATTTCGCAAGGCGTTTTGAAAACAAAATGGAAACATAGAATAAATTGAGAATTAAGGATGCATGCATTTGGATAGTGTATCTACCGTTAGAGATGGAACAAGAATCCCCTCAATATATCATAAAATGATTTTGAACAATAGGGTTTTGAGACATCTAGGGGAGTCATGGCTCCCCCCCCCCAGCGTGCCATAGTTAAGTGGGTTGATGCAATTACAAATCTTGTTGTAAACTTGTGCATATATAAGATCATTTTAGCGATTATGCCACGCATTGATTCTAACACTTAAAAGTGGTTGGCTAACCTACAGAGACGGATAATCTTAATGTGTTCGATGGCCACACTTAATAAGTTGTTAGTGAGAGAAACAACCTACTAACATAACATAACAATAGTTGTAGCCTAATCGATTATCTGGAATGTTGCCTAATTGCATCCTTAATTGGGCTGAACAATACTGCTTTTCATTTATTGATTCTACTGGTGTGTGTCGCGCGACTGTGGATGATGTCCTAAATACATCAAAACACAATGGATCGAATCATTAGTATTCACTTCAAGTTCACATAATCAAAGGCCTAATTTCTATTATTAGAAAAAAAATTAAATGAGTAGAAAAATAAAAACCCTAATTACCTGCTGCCCCCAAAATTTAAAATATATAAAACAATGAAAATCGAGGTTTCCTTTCAAAAATTTGGATCCAACAGAATCTCTTTGAAGTTGCTTCTCAATCAGCTTTTAATCCTTTGTAAACAAAAATCACTTCTGGAACGAATCAAACGATTGAAGAGGTGCGATTCGATTGACAAAAAGCTTTAAGTCGCTAACAAAAGAATTGTGAGGGATTCATATATGGCCTTCTGGAATGATTGAAGAGCTGAACAGTTGAAGAGGTCAAGCTTTTGAACTATTGAAGTTGAACAAGAGAATGGCAAACTCAATAGAGAAAGAACAAAAGTCATGACGCAAATGCGTGAAAGACAGACAAAAAGATCTGGTTTTATTTCTTACAAAACTACTTTGAACATATACAAAAGTAACTCAATTATTTGTTAAATTACATAAATATCCATAATTTTTTTGAAAATTTTTTATGGGGCAAATACGAAATAAATTTTAAATTTTCTTACCCAAAATTTTTCAAAATTTCAAAAGGGACAGTTGCCCCCATTGCAGATTCGCCACTGGCTACTATAGGTTATAAGTTGATATTTGAACTTCCTAGGATTTAACATACATTTATTCAAGGAACAAAATTTTGTTTCAAAACGGATGTAACATTTTTGTTTCAAAGGAGACCAAAACGAGTCAATAGTTGAATTGAAATTGTTCTGCTTTGAGGTTTTTGCAAGGTGTTTCGAGATGTTTTGACATGTTTCTACAAATGTTTCGAGATATTTCAAAATTGTTAAACAATCATCTACTCCAAAAGCTTAGTGTTAGCGAGGGTATAACTTAAATATTTATACTTCAACACGCCCTTCAGTGTATACTAGATTTTGGGCCTAGCACATGGAAACTCTTTTACTAATTAGGGTGGCGGCGAGATTCAAACAGTGGACCTCTTGCTCTGATACCATGTTAAACAATCGTCTAAACTTTTGGAGAGGGTGTCACTTAGGCATTTATACTTTAATAAAGATATTTTGGTATATTTTGACCAATATTTTTGAAATGTTATGGAAATAAATTATCGAATTTTTTATCCGTTTCTATTCTGTTTTCGAAACGTTTTCATTTCCTAGGTGACCGAAACAATATACCGACACAAATTTTTGATCCTTGCCTTTATTTTGAATGATGTTCATTTGTTAAAATGAGTGCCAAATAGTGGAACGAAATAAACCGCACAACTGGACTATACTGGCCTTCATGGTTTGGATTTCATTTCCAAGTTTTATACTTACGTTGCGTGTTGTAACATTGTTGAATGAGTTATTTTATATTCATGCCTTATTGGGATAAATGATGGACACAAGTTATGATGCCAAATGTGATCTTGGTGTTATTAGTTAGCTATTAACTATTGTGTTATCTGCTATTATTGGTGAATTTGCAGTTGGCTTCTTGAAGCATATTTATTTTTCTTGTATGTAGCATTAAAAGAGGTTTTCACTCTTCATGTTTGTGGAAAGATGGAGAACCAAAGGCCCACCAGGAATTAACTTCACCTAACCTTGGTTTCGAATTTTTGGAAACTGACAAGATTCGATTTCTTCTAGGTCAATGACTAACCTAAACCAACCTGGCTCCATGACCACCCTATGTTATATCTTGAAGATGGGGTGGAGTGCAAGTCTAAAAAAATCCCACTAATTTTTTTAAAGAACTATGACTTGTCAATATTGAATACAAACAAAAAGAAAAACACTATTAAAGGTAGTGGATTATTAAGAACGAATCCCCGAAAAGAGAATCCATGGACTGAGCACATGTGAGATTATGGTTGGAACATGGTCCTGTTTATGGTTCATTGCTTAACAGTGTAGTTTGGCTCAGTCAAGGATCTAGGTGCCATGCAATAAATCCAGGCGATATTTTGGTAGGTCTCTTCCGAATCCAAGTTGGTACCATGCAACCCTCCAACCTGCCCAACCAGCGAGGTTGCACCCTAACCTTGAATATTCTACAAATATTTCCTCTAGGAAGATCTATATCATACTTGTGCGACTGTACTTTAAATTCCCTCTTGAGATGCAAAAGTATCATTTATGTTTTTTGAGCTTTTGCCAAACTGAAAGAATTTTCCTCTATATTTTATATTCGACCTCATGTTGCTTCTCAAAAAATGATTTTGGTCTCCAACCCAAAATAGACAATTATGTGGAGTCAAAGTAAGAAACTGCACACCCCAAATGTTGTAGTCAAAAGATGAGAAGTATACCTGAATCATTATAGAGCCAAGATGAGTGGATGTCATAGATATCAAACATAACAAGACTTGATGCATGGTTATACACCAACCTACATCGATGTGCATATACCAAAGTGTGTAAATTATTGTTTCCTCAGGCTTCCAAGAAAATGTCCAAGCACTTTGCTCGGATGCAGGCTATACAAGAACAGGTGTGTATCATGACTATATCTTCTTGTTGCTCCATGTCACCTCAAAATTGTACAAAAGTTTTCTCATGCTCTGTGGTCTTCCATATCTTTGCCACTTCTTACAGGTGAACTCTGCCAAATCGATTGAAAAAGATGTTAAAGTTCTAAAAGTTAAGCTGAGTGATGAAGTGGTGTTAGAAAGGTCACTTGAAGCCAAACTGGTTGAACGGCAAGGGAAAGGTAGCGTTTATTCTGTCTATATTTTGAGTTACTGTCCTTTGTAATTGGTTTTATACTTTCAAGTTAGAAGCTTGCCCTTCTCAGCGGACCAGTTGGATGACTTCAGAAAGCAATTAGAAAAAGAAAGGAATCTCAGTTGGGAAGAAGCTACTAAAGAATTAAACAATGTCAAGTTGGAAGTGGAATCTCAGAGGCGTGATCTTGAATCGAGACAAAGTAAGGTTCAAGCTGTTGTTGCAGAGGTATTGTCAACAATTTTAATGCTTATGCTGAAGTTAAGTAAATCGGAAGTGATTCAGCATCTACGGTATCTTCAATTTGTTAGGTGGATGACATTACTGCAAAGATTAATTCAGTGAAGGAATCTGGAGCAGCAAAACAGCAAGAGTTAGGCCATAAATCCGAAGAGATTAAGAGTGAGGTACCACAGGCCAATGCTCTATCTATTTTGATTATATTATTGCAAATTTGTGCTTAGATACCAAGTTATTTGCTGTCATAGTTGACTCAAGCATCATACGAGGCTCTTAATCTACATGGCAATTTAAAAATTAGATGTACGTATTTGTTTGTTCTTTCATTCCTCTAGAAAATCTACAAGGCTCTAAAATTTCAGACAATATGTATCATTTGTTTGTCTTTTGATAAATCCATAATCAGGCACATCGAGATCTATATGTTCTTCTCGTTTTCCATGCCTCTTGGAAATGCAACAGTTTCATATGTCCTGTGTATTGGTGGTTGTAGTTTTACAAGTACTCGAACTCTATTGGGCACTTGCTGCTGAGTGGAATGGAGCAAGAAGTTGTTAAGGCAAGGAGCTGATCCACATGAACTTCAAACAGTATACAAGTTCAATGGTTTGGCAATTGCACAAAGCATCCTATTGTATGTTTCATGTCTTACCACTCATACAGCTTATTTGAAGTCACCATTAGCAAAATCTTGCCTCTATGAATGCCTGATGTTAATATTATGTAGGTGAGGTTACACATTTTTGTATCTGCTTTGGCGATTTAAAACATTGGCTAGTTTAGTTTGGTTGAACTCAGAGTGAGCTTAGCTGAGTAATCAGTGTTTTCTTCATTTAATCCTTCATGTATGTATAGAGGAAGTTTGTGGTCATTGTTCATAAATCTACTCTATTGTATGTATAGAGGGAGAGAGCTTCGTATGAGGTCTAATATTAATTTGGTAGAGGAGTGAGAAAGTACCACGACGGTAATTTAATAGGACAGTTGGAAAAAAAAAAAAAAAATTCAATTTTTTAATTAGGCACTATAATAAGTGAAGGGGACGATGAGACCTGTGACCTTAATATTCAATAATGACGATGATCATTAAATTAATTAATCACTAATTTTAATATGCCTTTCCATTCAAATATGTGGATTACTGTAGATTTAAAAAATAATATAGTAACTACCTTTACTGGGAGAATGAAGTTTCAAAAACTTATATGTGCTCAGTTTTCCATCCCCTCCCCTCCCCTCACCTATAATTCTCTCTGTTAATGGAAAGATTTGTGAAATGGAATCTTCCTTCTCAAAAAGGAATGCTTCAAACTCTTTTGCATTCACCGACAGAAAACCCACCTCACATTTCATCATACCCACCGACCGATTTTCCAGTTCTTGACTGGCCAAAACTTCCTCAAACTAGGCCAACAAGTCCACTCCCATATGGTCCTCCGAGGTCTCCAACCCAACGCCTTCGTTGCTTCAAAGATGGTAGCAATGTACGCTATCTCAGGCGAATTAAACTCCGCTATACTCCGATTTGATGGTATTGCAAATCCATCTTCTCTTTTGTACAATTAAATTATTCGAGCATATACCTGGTACGGGTTTTTCGAGAGAACTTTAGGAACCTACTTTGGAATGCATTTGTTGGGTATTAAAGGTGATTGCTTTGCATACCCTTTTGTGCTCTAGTCCTGTGCTGACTTAGCGCGTGTTGGTTTGGGAAAATGCGTTCATGGGTTGAGTTTGAGAACTGGGTTGGTGGTGCAAACCTCAAGAGCCAACCTCACGTCGATGTCTAAGAGGAAATAAAATACAAACCGAATCTCTCTGTTAATGAAATCTCTTCATTCTCAAATTCAATATTCTGAAATATATCAGCACCCCTTCTTTCCTCCATCACTACTATATTAAAGGATTACATAGGGTACTATAAATCAGGAAATAAACTAGGAAAGGATTGCCAACATAGCAAAGAGTCTTACGGAAATAAACTAGGAAAAGAATTAACAACTTAGCAAGAATAAATAGATAAGAGTTGATAAGAATTCTAGAAGCTGAATAAGTCCCCATCCTCCATGATTTAAGGAGCAGTTTTTCGCCTGGGAACCATGCTCTCCATTTGCATCAGTTGGGGTTTGATATGTACGTAGAGACTTCTTGGATTGATATGTATGTGAAATGTGGTGAATTGAGTGATGCCCATAAGTTGTTTAATGAAATGCCTGTGAGAGATGTTTTGTCTTGGAATGCGTTGATTGCTGGGCACATGGAAAGATGGCAAGATTTCTGTTGCGGAGGATTTATTTGGGAAAATGTCAGAATAGTAACATTGTGTCTTGGAATGCTATGATATCCAGGTACACTTAGAATGGGTTGACAGACTGCTGAGTGTACCTGCTATGATTCATCATATCCGGGTACACTCACAAGCAGAAATCCTCATGATTTCTGTTTAATGAATGCCTGCTATGATGAGATGATGCAGGAGGATTCGAGGTGAAGCCTAATTGGGTTACAATCATGAGTGTTTTACTGCTTGTGCACACACTGTTGAGTCTGCTAGACGAATTCATAATTATGCTACTGAGATCGGTTTGGATTTTCATTCTTCGGTGGAAACAGCACTTGCTGCAAACGTATGTTTAGGTGTGGGAGTCTTGTTGATGCCCAAAGTTGTTTTGATAGGATCCGTCAAATGAAAAGAGTTTGGTTACTTGGAACACCATGATTACTGCATATGCTTCTCATGGCCATGGAACAGAAGCTTTGTCAACATTCGAGGATATGATAAGAGCTGTGTATTCAACGAGGTTGTTGTCAGGATGCAGCCATTCTGGACTGTTGATGTTAGCTTGAAATACTTTGTATGAGTATAGCGCATTTTGTGGAACCAAAAACATGAAAATTATGCTTGGATTTCCATTCTTGGTCGTGCTGGGAGATTAGTGGAAGCGTATGACCTTATCTCTCAAATGCCAATGCAAGTGGGACCGAGAATATGGGGCTCGCTATTGGCAGCCAGTGCAAAGCCACCGGAATTTGGAGATTGCAGAAATAGCAGCTAGAAAGTGTTTGCCTTGGAACCAGACAACAGTGGGTATTATGTCCTGC